GTGTGTGTGTGTGTGGGTGTGTGTGTGTGTGTGTACTGTATACACATCCTCTCTATCCCCTTCTCCTTTCCACTCAATTAAGACCTCTCAAGGTCACGCATATCTCGTCCCAGATAACTTGTTGCCGTTTGTGGGCCAAACTTTTTTGCTGCTTTGTTTTTTTTGGGGGGAGGGGGGGTCAGATGATGATGATGACGATGATTTTTTTTTTTTAATATGCATTTTTTGCCTTTGTCCTAAAAAGTCCGTCATGAGCACTTCTGGCTGCGAAACCCAACCCAGCTTGTCAACTTCTTGGCTGAAGTCGCAATGATTGTTTCTTTAGTTTATTTTCTATTTTTTTTCCCCCCACCAAATCAGATCCACCTTGTGACAAGTTCTCCTCCAGTCATTTGTGGTTAGTGTGTGTGTGTGTGTGTGTGTGCGTGTGTGTGTGTGTGTGTGTGTGTGTGTGTGTGTTTGGAGGTGGAAGTAGAGATGCTCTGTCAACGCGATGACTGTGTGTGCGCGCATTCCGCCGAGCGGTTCCGGATCCCCACGCTGCGCGTCGCGACTAATCCCGCCTTCCTGTTTTCCTGCAGAAGAAGTGAGGCGGAGAGGAAGCGCAGATCCGCCCGATTAGGCCGATAAAACTCGCCGTCTCATTTCCCCAAAAGTCAGCAGACCACAGGCAGTTGGCTGAGGTTTTTTTTTTTTTTTTTTCTCTCGACGACACCTGAATGCGGCCTCGACACTCGTTGCCCGCTCGAAGCCTTCTCCCCCGTCGTCGTCGTCTTCCTTATTGTCCAACTTCCTGCCTACGCCCCGAATGAATCGGTCTGCTGAAATTACAGAGCAATAAATGAGCAGTCGGCTGACACGGTGACGACTGGTGGGGGGGGGCTTTCCTGATAGCGCGGTGGGGGTCTCCAACCTCCAACAGCATTACTATTGAGTGGATTTACTCGTGCGTTCATCCTGTACCGATCGAAATAGCAACACTGAGGTATTGTAAGGCAGCGGTGCGGCACGGTGGGCTTGCGGTTGGCACGTCTGCCTCACAGCTCTGAGCTCCCGGCTCAAAATGTTCCCAAAAGTCTTGGAGACAATGACTAAGCAGGCTAATGGGGAGGCGGGCGGAGCAAACTGACCTTCGCAGCTGACCACATGCTTCTGCATCGCAGCACGGCAATGTTGTGGTTACCGCACCCGCCTCGCAGTCCAGTGATCCGGGTTGGAATCTCTCTCGTTCCAAAAATCATTGACGTTCGCTTCTCTGAATTGTCCGTCGGTGCAAATTCTCGTTTCTGTCGGTAATGTGCCGTGCGCGCCCTGTGATTGGCCGACCGAAATGAAAATGGAGGCGCGCATGCGAGACGGCGCTGGGGCCGCGCTATTTTTGGGGCCGGCCTCGCAACCGTGAAATGTAAGTTAAAGGCTGTTTGGGTTGGCCCCGAACGTACAGACATGGAAACATAATGACAGGCTTGTAAAATCACACACACACACACACACACACACACACACACACACACACACACACACACACACACACACACTGGAGTGGAACATGTTGTTTTAAACTTTTAACCAAAACACTGAGCGTGTTGTTTCTCCTTTCTCCAAAATATAGGCTTCAAAATGTACTTGGCTGTTTTCTTACAGACCAAGAAGCTAAAAGTGGGACTCGAGCCCCTACGCCGGCGTTGGGAGAGCAACATTCCAATTTGCCGCAAGAGTTTTTTTTTTTTTTTTTTTTGCCTGAATTACTCCTGAAACTTGTGGCGACTGTTCACATTCCAAGATGAAGGACTTTGAAAATCAACCCAGTCGTAGTTTTGCCTGTAAAGTGAAGTCAGAGATTTGTTCTTCAAAAAAGGCCGACTTCATGTGTCTTGAGACTTTTTTCATTTTTACCCTCTCCACATGACTGTCCCTACCAAATCTCATCTTGTTCAGTGGAACTGGCACCTGGCTCCAAATTAAACAAATCTCATGTGCTCTCGTGAGCCAATTTTACCGTCATTCCATTGAGGCCAAAATGACTCTGCAATGGCCCCTTCAAACAAAAATGGCCGACCTCCTGTGGGTTGTTGTTTTTTTTTTTTTTCCCCAGACATAGGTTTTTGGGACTTAACAGAGAAAATTTCATGTTTTGAAGTCAAACAGCCTTTGAGGTTCTTTTTCTCTCTCGCTCTCCCTCTCAAATAATTCTCCAAACTTCTCATGGAGCCTCCCAGAATTTGCTGGAAAGGTGATGGCTCATGATCTGGATGAAAAACTCAAAGAACTTCCCACATGTCAGTAAAAAAACGTGACACATAATAGCCCAGATGCCCCGAACAAGTTGGCCATTTCTTCTTTTTGATGTATTCCTGAACTCTTTTGTCGTCTCATGTGCACGTTGGATTATTCAGCTTATTTTTGTGTGCGATGCTAACATCAACTCCAACAACCCCCCGCGTATCCCGCATGTCTGCTCCTCTTCGTCCTCTTCCTCTTCCCGGCTTTATCCCTCACAACACCGTGTTGGGGGGGTCTTCTACACTACCTTGTTCATTTGTAACCTCTGCCACTGGTGTCTACCTGCCAGGATGAACCAAAAATGCACCAGAACATTTCCAGGTGGTCTAAAATTGACCCTTTGAAACTTTGAAATGCACATTTCCCACACATTTCCCACTACTCATTGATGTCAATAGATTTTGCACAACTCGCTCTTCTGAAACTCAAAGGGCAAAATGCACATTTCCTCATCCATCCCTTTCTATGCCTTTCTGTGACTCTTCCAGTGTCCCTGTCTCTTTGTTCCAATCTTCTGATGACACGATGAGCCCCTGATATTTGAATTTCGGTCTGTTTTTCTGCCCCCCCCCCCCCCCACGCCCTGCTCGAAGGAACTTTTCCAGTCTTTTTTACACTAAAAGCCATCTGGCTGTTGATCTCATTTATTGCCGCTTTTACTAACATCAAGGATGTTCAAGTCGGTACATGGTTTACAAAGTGAGCAAAATGCTGTGTGTGTGTGTGTGTGTGTGTGTGTGTGTGTGTGTGTGTGTGCGTGTGTGTGTGTGTGTGTTCAATCTGCATGAATTTTTCAATATTTGAGACATAGGTTGTTGTTGTTGTTTCCACCTTGAATGTTGAGGGTGTGTGTGTGTGTGTGTGTGTGTGTGGGTGTGTGTGTGTGTGTGTGTGTGTGTGTGTGGCTTAAATAAGTGGTTGCAAAGAAAAGCCAAGCAGGAAATGAAGATGAAAAGCCAAGCGGAGAGGATGTGGCTTGAGCTTTCTGTCCAACGTGTTCTGCACTCTGTTAAAACTCGACATGTTTTTTTGTTTTTCTTTTTCTCTTCCCGCCTCCTGAAAGTGCGAAACGACAGCACCGGGAACACCAAACGTTGACGACGGCGTCGTTCCAATGCGACGCGGGCGTTGAGCCAAAGTGGCCGACGGCCCCTCTTCCCATTGACTGATTTCAATTTGCGGTCGTGCTTCACTTGCATTTCATATCGAAATTATACAACCGCACATTTTCGATTGCGCTTGTCCATTTTTTTATATAATGGTAACTAGCAAAGAAAAAGGGGGCGGGGGGGTGTTATCTATATAAAATATAATGGGGGGGGGGTCTTTCAAAGTCAGGAAGACCCTGGGGTGCCCACAGACCAAGATTTATTGTGCGTGAGTGCTTTTACGCACAAGCACGGACACGTACGCGGAGGACCACACAGCGTGTGCACACGTGTTCCGATGCGCTCATGTGAAGCACACAGAGAGCGAACGATAAGGCGCAGGCGCACGGAAAGCCGCCGGCCGGCGAGGACACCGCGACGGCCACTGCCCTTCCCTCCCCCGGCTTCTTGACCTTTGACCCCCTGGCCCCCCGCTCTCCCTCCCCCACGTCTCGTCGCGCCGTTTCGCCCTCCCAGGGCTCGTCTGTGTGTCGTCTGCCTCGCGTCACTTTCTTTCTCATTTGCAAGACAGGGTTTGAAGATATATTTCGAGAATCAAACTTTTTTTTTTTTTAATCTTAAGATAAAATAGAAAAATGCGGTTTGCAAAATACACAGAAAAGTCTGACAATTCTTCTTTAATAAAATTGTTGAAATGACCCTAAAATATATTTCAGAAAAATAAAAACTAAATGCTATCAAAAATTTCAATATTTGAAAACAAATATTACAAAACAATCTGAAGGACTTTTAATAAATCTAATAAATTATCTCATTTAAAATATTTTTGAGAAATTTAAAAAAAAAACCTCTTATTTATGAAATATTAAAATGGTATTCATAAAAATATCCAAGGGGAAAAAAAAAAGATATTTCAAAACAGTCACTAAAAATGCAGCTGCTCCTATTAAGACTTTCACATTTCAAAGATGGCGCCCAGGATGAAGATGCAGGGCTTGTTTGTTTGAGGTTCTGGATGTATGTGTGTGTGTGTGTGTGTGTGTGTGTGCATGTTGGTGAGGGGGGGGGGGCCATAAAAAGAGCCCCTCTTTCTTCATTTGCACATAAGCTATCACGGGCCCACGTACACGCCCGTTTTAAAGGCCCTCATTGTTCAAGCCGCCCAAGGACCTTCTCGCTCGGCGACCCCCTTGGTGGCTTTCGGGGGCCTTGGGTGAAGGGTTAGCGCCTCACAATTGAGGTAGCCCAGCTCGCCCCCGCCCGGCCGCTCCCACCTCGTTGCCTTCCTCCGTCTCTGCTCCCTGCCTGCTCCTCTATTTCAACCCTAAACGCCCCCCCTCCACCCACCACGCACACACACTGGAGGGGTGCAGTGGGCTTGGGATCCTCACAGTGTCCCCACACCCAGGAGCCTTTACTGCAGACAATCAGTGACCTCATTATAAACAAAAATAAAATAAGAGTAGTAATAAGGTGAAGCAAGGCATTCTCGCGCGGTTATAAATGTTACTTTGGGTTTCAAGTTCATTTTTTTTTTTTTTTTTAATTGAAAAAGAAAAACTTATCGCGGAGGTTTTGGTCCACACATTTGAGGCTCACTCCATTTTGTGTCATACAAAATAATTTATAAAGCCAAGTGTATTTGCATTACCGCTTGATGATATATATACATACAATATTTTATTGTTCTAATATATTCACAGGAAATCATCAATTCAGACACTTCCTCCAACTTCTTTTTTTTTCTTTTTAGCACAAGAGATCCTGAGTTTTAAGACTTTTTGTTTTAAATAAGCAAGACAAAAGTAAAATAATCTTATATAGAGAGATTTATAATTAACAATCGCTTCTTTTTTTAACATAGCAAAATAAATCTATATATTTTTTTTTCCTTGTTAAAATAAAATGTCTTTCAAAATAACATTTGGGGAGAGGCGGGCGAGTGGTGGCGGGCCCCTGCTCCGGCTCCTCGTGGCACTTTTTTTGTGTGTTTGTGCCGCAGTTTACCAAAACGTCCCGGCGGTTGCTGTCCAAAATCCATCTGTCCTCAGTGCTCCATTCAAAAAAACAAAAGCCAAGCAAAACGCGTCCTGCCGGCACGGGGGCCTTAGCGGGGCGCCGTCTTGGGGTCACCGCGGGGGCGCGCCACCTGGTAGCCCAGCAGGCACGGCTCAGTGGACAGCGCGTCGTGCGTGAAGACCGAGTCGTTGTCGGACGAGCATGAGCTGGATGTGTCCTCGCACGACGGCGAGTACTGCTCGAAAGGTGTCGACAGGTCCAAGTACTGCACAGAGACGCGCGTGTTAAGAAGACCGCAAAGAGGAAACAACCATTGGACGGTTCTGTTGCCGAATTTTGTGGCTAAGAAATCGGATCTGAGCTTTCCCAGTAAGTATTGAATTTAATTTTGGCTTGGCTTTTCACCGATCCTAGTTAGCATAGCTTCATTTGGTTTCGTTGTCACGGGCAGATGCAGTTTGTAAAATAGTTCATTGCATTGCATCAATGAGCTAACATTACCCTTGTTTCATCTTAGCATAGCTGATGTCGCACTTACCTCATCGGAGATGGACAGCAGCACCTTGTCCAGCTCCTCCACCAGCTGTTTAAAGGTGGGTCTCTGGATGGGAACCGCATGCCAGCACTCGCGCATCATCATGTAGCTTCACAGGACACACACACACACACACACACACAAAACCCCCCTGATAAATATTGATAAGTAGACAAGGCGAACCGACACCTTGCCTTTGGCCCCTTTCTCAGCTTACAGTTCATGGGTGCAGTTGGAGGGCTTGTCCATGCGGTGTCCTTCTTTCAGCAGCTTAAAGAGCTCCTCAACGGGAATGCCAGGATAGGGCGAGCCCCCCAGGGTGAAGATCTCCCACATGAGCACGCCAAACGACCACCTGCCAAATAAGGTGAGCGCTTCTGAATGACACTCGGATCATTTGTGACGGTCGGCGGTATGTGGGGCTCACACGTCGCTCTGGTGCGTGTAGACCCGGTCGAACAAGGCCTCGGGTGCCATCCACTTCACCGGCAGGCGTCCCTGTGCGCAGATACAGATTAGGTCGCCGCCCCCCCACGGGTTGCCGTGCCAACACAGCTGCGAGCATTTAAAACGCCCACTTTCATTGTCTGACTGTAAAAGACGCCTCCCTGCTCAAGTCTGGCCAAAGCCAGCCCCCCTGCGCCTTTCCCTCCTTTCTAATTACGTCCCATTCCGCTGCCTGCCAATCAAGAGCTCAACGTCTGACTGGCGTCTGGAAGTACAGTAGGAGGATCCAAGACTCACGTTGGTGGTCTTCTTGTAGTAGTCGATCTGGTGGACGCCCCTTGCCAGGCCGAAGTCGGCGATTTTCATCACGTTGTCCTCCGTCACCAGGACGTTCCTGGCCGCCAAATCTCGGTGGATGCACTGCCAAAATAAAAACAGGGGGATGTGAGGGGGCAGAGGGGCGATCGTTTCAGACTCTCCACTCAATCCGATGCATGAAATAAAACCAACTGTGCCCCATATGATCAAGCGCTCGGCAACAGAGGTCGGGGTCGGAAAAACTCCCTCGAACTAACAAACCTAGACCAGAACCCGGGGTCTGTCTGTGTTTGTCTCGACCTGTTGTGTTGAGATGGAGTGACAGAAGACATCGACAGTTATGTTCGACTGAGCTGACATTGAGGTTTTTTGCTATGTGGCAGGACGAGGACACGGACGGACCGTGTAAACGCCACGCAGGGAGTCTGTGGCCCAGATTCGAACCCAGAAACTCAGAACTATAAGGCCCATGTGCTAACCCCGAGCCCTGGTCTGCGAGTGGTTCATGTCAAATTGGGGTTTTATGTATTTATTTATTTTTAATGCGAAGCGAAATGTCATCATCCAGGCCGACTTGTACTCAAGGCAAACACCTTCATGTAGAAATGCGTGAGTGTCAAGGAAAAGGGGGCGTGGGCTTGAAAGACCCGGTTTATGCGACTTGAATGGGCATCATTTAAGCTTATTTTGGTTTTCGTTCGAAATAGACTCTGGCTTTTTGCAAGAGCGGCCTTGGTTTGCGGGCCTCCCCATAATGGAGGGTTACTTTGAGGCTCCGGCAGTGGCCTCACAGCCCAGAAACCCGATGCCTCCGCCCAGACAGTCTGTTTGCTAACAGATTTATGGCGGTGCTAAAAGGGACAAAAGCCCGAAGACGGCGGGGACGGACAGATGGACGGAGGAGAGTAAACAGGACTGGAGTCTGAGACGGCGGCTGGCAGACAAAGAAGCGTGTTGATGAGTGAGAGCAGAGGGCATGCTGGGAAAATGACAAGAAAAGAAAGATGGGAGGAGGGGGGGGGGGTATCAAAAATATTGCAAAAAAGACCCATCTGGACTCGTGATGTGAAGGCAGTGTGCTCATTAAGCTCCCCCGATTCAAACTAGAGCACTTTTGTGCATTTTTACCCTTTCGGGGCATCCAATTTTGAGGCTTCGTGTTCCCACCTCGTTGGCTACGCTTCCTATCCGGGCTCATAAATGCATTCTAGTGGTCGCATTAGCATCGGATCCCGCAACCAGTGGTCCAAAACCACCGACCAGAAAACATCCGGCTTCTGCGCTACATAAACAACTTTAAAATCTCCGTCCGCGATGATCCAAACGCGATGCAGCCTTGTGGCTCATTCTTCAGGCAACCGCGATCTCGCCGATTTTGGGAAGTCTAAACCCAAGTCCGAATTTAGTTTGGAGGACGGCGTGAGCAGGAACGGGCGTATTTGAACACATTCAAGTGTGTTTAAAGTGTGTGGGTGAGGGTGAAAGAGGTCCCTCCGCAGCACCGACTTTCAGCCGTTGTGAAATGCTCCGGATCGTATCCACCACAATAAATGGGGGAGAAAGTGGCACAAATCCTCTTTCAAGTCGAGACGTACCCGTTTAGAAGCCAGGTATTCCATCCCTCGGGCCACCTGGTAGGCACAAGACAGCAAATCCTTGAAGGTGAGCTGCTCCTCAGGCACCTTGGTGACGTCGAAAGTGTAGTCCATGCCCGGAGGCCGTCGCGCTCGCAAGTACTCGCGCAGGCTGCCTTTCGAGGCGTACTCCACCAGTACGTACAGGGGTCCTGGTTCCGCAGGGGAGGGCCGCAAAGAGAAGGTGGATACGGGATTTATTTCAGTTGTTGTTCTCGTTGTGATTCGGGACCAAACGGTCAAGCCCTCGGCCGGCCCGTGTTCAGGGCGTCATCGTGGCTCCAACTCACCCTCCTGGGTGCAGACTCCGAGCAGGTTGATGATGTTCTTGTGTTTGTCCATCACCTTCATCAGCTCCATTTCGGAGATGAGGTCAGCGAGATCTTTGTCCGTGGCATCGTCTGTAGCAGTCGAAACAAACCTTTTTTTTTCTTTTTGAACAGGCACAAATGTAAACTAAACTCTTGAGGTTGGAATTTTGAAAGGCAACATTCTTACCTTTCAGCATCTTCACCGCCACAGTGGTAGCTTGGTCCGGAGAGTCCTTGTTGATGCCGTAGGCCTCGGCTCTAACCACTTGCCCGAAGCAGCCTTCCCCCAGAGGTTTCCCCAGCGTTAAGCTGGAGGACAGGACGGCAGTTGGTTAAAAATAAGAGCGTCCACTTGAAAATTCTGCGCCGCCATAATTTGGGGCTCCGATTTCTTCAAACATAGGTTCCTTTTTAGGCGCATGACCGGAGAGCTGCAATTTAAATTTTTACATCTGAGTCCCGGCAACTGAAGACAAAAGTTTTTGAGGCTCAAGACGCAGCTATTGGACGTGACCGATTTTAGCACAAGCTACAACGGAAGACGTCCTCTCGGGTTATCTTACTTGTCTCTGGGGAACTCCCAGTCGGGGTCGTGCGGTAATTCAAACTCCATCACTCCGGCCAGCATGGGAGAGCAGCTCGATGAAAGGCGGGCCACCCTCATCAAAGACGCGCTGGACTTCCCTGATGAATTGGAGTCCACCGAGTACTAAAAGCAAGAGACAACTTGAGCTCTTGAGCTGTCGAATCAGGAAGACCAACCTTTGCCGCGATGCGCACCTGCCGGCGCAGCGGGAACTTGGAAAGCTTCTGGACCGGGAGGGCATCAAACGGCTCCCGTCGGGGGTGGACTTGCATCCGACACAAAACCGCGATGACGATGGCCATGATCAGAGCCAAGAAGCCGCAGGCGTAGATGATGATGTCCGTGTACTTGGTCTCGATGGTGTCCGGGGAGTCCGCGGCTTCTTCCTCTGCGGGAAGTTGGGAACCGTTCGCAAGCTGTTCAAACGTGGCGCCCGAGGGGTTGTCGCATCGGCCGAGAATGAGGTTTTTCCTTTACCCGAAAGGACGGTGAGCCAAGCCGACTGGTAGGCAAAACCGATGGAATTTCCAGCCAGACAGGTGTACTCTCCCGCGTCCTCCGTGGTGATTTTAGACAGGTAGAGCACCTCCACCTCGGACATGTTGAGACTGCCGGTCTACGTGAAATGTCCAAGACAAAAGAGACGTGAGAACCCTCAAGCTTGCCACAGCACAAGACCGCGGGCATGCCAAGGTCACCGACCTTGAGAACCTGGACGTACGGTGTCCCGTCAGGTCCGTATCGGCTCCCGTTCCTCTCGATGTGTTTGAGCCACTGGATGTGTGGCTGCGCATCACTGTAGACTTTGCACTGGAACTGGACGTCACTGCCCACGACTGCTGTGGTGTTGGCCGGTAGACCCGCCTGCAGGATGGGCCGATGGGGCGAGCGCTCTGAAGACAAAAGAGCAAAGGTCCACCAACCTGAGCTACCTTCATTATTTGGGGTTGAAAAGGGATTCCGGGGGCAGGGTTTCAGAAATACTGCAAATCGCAGGCTCCGCGGTGTAATGTGAAAGAGAACTATTCCGACTTCGTCACAATCTTCCTCAACTAGTTGTCCGTGTCACATTCAAGCTGGGGAATTAAAAACAAAAAGGCCACCCGGGTCCCTTTGATCAGCGGTTAGTCTCATTCTCTGATCTCGTTAAGTGTCTCATTAGTCCCCCCCAGCCCCGGTCAGCCGGGAAAAGGAAACTGACCCCGCTATGGATGCAGAGCCAACAAATGAGCAAACAAGCCCACCGCCCTCCTCTATCTCCAGTCACAGGTCAGGTAGAAAACTGCTTTGGACGCCTGACTGTCCACATCCCGCGCGCCACGGCTGACGCCAGGCGCCGCGTCACCTTTCGCTCCCCCCCC